TAGAAAAATCATGGTTACATGAGATATCAATGGGAGGGGACGCGTTGGTGCGCGCCAAAAATTTAGAAAATCCATCCTACATCTAGAGCGCAGCTTCGGTCATACATGCGATGATGCTAAGTAGAAGTGTAAATATCATCATAGGTTAACATGGAAAAAGTTAAGTTAACGGGGGGGGGGGGGGCCGGGGGGTGCGTATCTGCGCGTATTATCTACTCAACGCGTACGTGCTGTAACGCGTGAAGTGTAAATTCAGCCGTTCCAGTAGGTCCCATTCCGTTTTGTCGCCTTTCACGCGTGCATCACACGAGATTCACGTGTGTTCACATCGTCTTTTATTTCCCCCCTCCAGTGACGTTTTGCACTGACCAAAACAACCACCGGCTGCACTTGTGGAGCAGGGTTACATTGGGCGGAGTTTCTGCCCCGCGCACATCGACAATCTGGTTTTAAAACGGGCAACGCCTTGTAGCAGGCAGGCTCTGGATAACCGCAGACATTAAACTCTGCATATAACGTAAACTTTTGCATTTCACGTTGGTGATCTTTCCAAAATGAGGAGAAATAATCGTTATGGAATAGAGAACTAAACTATTGGTAATATCACGTGAACGTTATTTTGACTCAAACCGCCTCCGAGGTGTTCTCCTCCACCACTCAGAAAAAAAGCCGACCGCCTTTTCTCTGGATCTCTAACATTTATAATAAATACATAAATATAACAATATAATGAAGATGCTTTCAAATAATTTAGCAAGCTGGAATGTCATCTTATTTTAACTGCAAAATTCTCTCGATGCTCCTCTCCTCTCCTCCGCAAATCACTAAATGAGGAAAAGGGAGAATATTCACTCAATCTATTCGCTTGAGATGTTACACATACAATATTAATATAGTCTAAGAGGTGTACCACCGTAGCCCGTGTATTTACCACTGACTGTAAAAGTAAGAAAGTTAGCAATGCAAGATTACATTTTTTAATTACCAAATCAGATTTAATTCAGCACAGTACTTTCCAAGCTCAGTAAGAGGAATAAAACGTTTTTGAATTATGAAAATAGGAAGAATAAGGTGGTTTTGATTTTTATTACCCATATTGATAAGTGCTTTTATGCGTTTAGTGAAAGATAATTTGGTTTTAAAAACAAAGGGATACTGTGGAACCTTCTATTCTGCCAGTTTCAAGCCTTTATTCATCTTCTAAGTGCTGTAACTTCCCTATTTTACTAACTATAAACCATATTTAAAAATCACTGTAAAGAAGGAAACAAGTTTCAAGGAGTTGGAACTTCGATATTATTTTACAATTTGGCCGACCCCGCATCTCCCAATATGGCCTCCAGTATCCAGATTGGCTGCCAACATGAAAAATTCCGGAAAACATTTTTTTCAAACTACTATGTAATATATCAATATATAAAAGGTAAGCAATCTAAATTGATGCTTAGGAAATGTTTTTGGGCCTATGCACACACACACAGTGTTATATATGAGACTAAATTCAGACCTCAGTTTATACATATGTTATTTATGAGACTAAAGTTACAGGGACCGCGCTTTAAACTGTTATTAATGAGGACTAAAGTTACATACTATCAGCCTTTAAACATTGCTTATTTGTGAGACCTAAAGTTACAGACCCGAGCTTTAAACATGTTTATTAATGAGACTAAAGTTACAGACCTCAGCTTTAAAACGTTCTTAATGAGCCTAAAGTTACAACCCCAGCATTTAAACCTGTGTTTTTATGCAGACTAAAGTTACAGACCTCCGCTTTAAACTGTGTTATTTATGAGGGACTCAACTGTACCAGTTCCTCAACTATAAACATGTTATTTATCAGGAACTACGTTACAGACCTCGCCTTTAAGCATGTTATTTATGAGACTAAAGAAAGACCGTAGCTATTTTAAACATGTTAAAAACCCAAACACCTTGTTACCCTGTAAAATGGATTAGGTCAACCAATGGCCATTGGTCGTTTGGGCCACGTGACTCGCGTTTCTACCCCGGAAAAGTGGACTCGCGGACTTTGCCCTGCCGCCTTCGGCTAGCAGCAGCAGCAGAGCAGAGTGACTGTGATGGAGCGCGGCGGTTTTGCAACTTTATTCACTGATCCGCGGGTACAAACAACCGTGTTGACATGATTCAAATATACCCATCATTTCTAAAAGCTTTACTCTTAGATGTATTGTGCTGTGGTGTTGGTTTCCCAAAAACCCCGGTTAGCTTACCGTGTATTTTGCTATTAAGTTCGTGGATTATACTCCGTAAACCGCAAACAGCTGGAGAGATGCAGCTATCACCGTAATCGCAGTAATAAGTGATTCTGTTTACCGGTAAATATCAACCTCCGCGGCGAACGTCATTACCCGCCGACTGCGAGGATATCCCGCTCATTTTTTTTCAGGAAGAGTCCAGACTATCGGTGGCCCCACTCTGCTCAATATTCGTCAACTTTATTAATTCATATCTAGGAAATAAAGGAATCTTCAGAACATTCCACACATTTATGGGATTCTATGAATAAAATATGTCTTATTGATTCGTTGGTTGGTTAGCTTATATTCATGATATTTGCTGCTCAGTAAATCAAATGAACTAAGTGAGTAAGACCGCCGACCTCTTTTTCACCACACGCGTTGCCTCAGGCGCAGCGTTTCCCTGTGGTCTTGCCTTGCTAATTTAAAAGTAATGAGGCCCTGCTTCCTGGCCTCTGGCTGTGAGGCCCACCACCGTCATCAGTCTCGGTGCTGCCTCTGTGTAGATCACACGTCTGTCTCGGACTGGGTGTTCCTCGAGGCTTTAAGGGGGTGTAGGAAGGAGCGATCCTGTTTGTCCCGCATGTTTTTTTGTTTAACGCATCCTGCGCCGAATTGCAAATTGTTACTCAGGGGACTTCCCATGCATACCGTAGGCGCACATATATAATAATATATAGGGATCAGGAGCTTTCTGTCGACGACCCACACGCACCATGACATGGATCATATTTCTTGAGCATCCCAACCCGCCCGAAACCAGCGGGACCCGAGGGTGGACTGCGGGTTTCGGGCCGGACACCCGCGCACCTCGCATGTCCTGTTAGGGCTGCAGGAGCATTTGTTCCTCCATTATTTTAATGGGACTTTGGTCCATGCACACTGTAAAAAAGATAAAGTTAGTTCACTCAAAATTTCCAAAGCAACCAGGCTGCGCAAGGTTTTTGAGTTGAAGGCATTAATTAATTCTTCATAGTTTTGAAAGAAACACACTTATTATGTTGTGACAGTTATGTTTCCAAGTTTGCCACTAAGTGTTTTAAATTCATTACTGGAAATTTCAAGTCTGTAAAACTTATTTTTTTAAGTTCAGATTACTGTCCCTACAATAACTTACCTAATTTGTGTTTAAATTTAGCCCCACCATTTAAAGATCCTGATGTTTATTTTATTATTGCGTTTCAAGGACCAGGTCCCTTGGGTAGGGGAAAACCGGAGCACCCGGAGGAAACCTATGCAGACACGAGAACATGCCAATTCCCACACAGAAAGGCCTGTCCGACCGGGATTCGAACCCAGGACTTGTGTCAGAAGCGACGAGGCTATCCACTCAGCACCGTGCCGCACACCACTGTGACCAGGCGGGGACCTTCTGTTTCTAAGACTGAGCCAGAAATTATTACGGGCTACTTTGGCTTGGCCCAGTCGTTTAGGTTGGTAAACAATAAATACAGTGATTTTTGTGGTCAAATTAGTTTGTTCCAAAATGTTGAATTGAGCTGGTTGCCATAACACCTATTTAAATAGCGCAAACGCAGATAAGTGACCTCACTATAGCTCGCGTGAACTGTAAAACACGACAACTCAAAAATTGTTCACCTTACTCAGATTTTTGCATTCACTGACAATAAAATTTCCAGTTGGAATGGAACTATCTGTGAGCCACTTGAACTTTCAGAAGTTCATACAACTTCAAAAGTCAAATCACTTAATATATCAAATAAGATGAACTTTTCATCAGAAACTTCAGGAAAGTGAGTTGACGAAAATTAGACGCATAGGCAGGGATCTTTGCACACCAGAGGCAACTTGGCAAGTTTTTATTCACAACAGGTGGTGATTCAGGCAGAAACAATAAAACAGGGGGAAACAGATATCTGGTTATATTAAAATGGTGAAAACAAGGAGATTGTTGGAGCAGTTATTGTTTGAATGACAGAGACAATAGATCACTTGAACTTATATCCTCAAGGAAAACATTTAACATTTTTCATTCCACTCAATTTTGCACTAAATCTCTCACAATGTAAAAAATATAATAACAATAATAACCTGTTTTCTGAACCTGCCATAACTTGGTGCAACAGCCCTTTCTCTGTAACCATTCTGCTTCAGCTCTCCTTATGTAAAAGTCTACCCAAGTGTGAGAGCGCAGCCGAGGACAAGGACAAGTGTATTTCAGGTGTGTTTCAGTCGCAGAATCAGCTGCAGCGGCGGAGAAAAGGGTCACAACTATTTTTGATAATCCCCCACGCCTTGAATCAGTCACAGGGATTACAAAGTCCATTCTGAGGTGAGCTGTTGGTTATCTGGCACCCACAGACCCGCACCACAACAGCACAACATTCAAGTCTGTAATGTACTTTGGGGCGCCAGAAAAAAAGCTTATAGAAAAAAAAATACAATCAAAAATATATTGTTCTGTTTTCTGTGCCCAAGAAGTGAACAATGTAATGTTAGGAAAAGTTGCGCTTGGCATTCAACATATTCAATCCACATTTTTATACAGGTCTTCTCCAGTGTGGGCGGGTCCCAGCTCAAAAACGTCCATGAGCATGTGCGCTGACATACTTGCAATACCACCCCGGGCCTGTGGGGGTGTACCCAGAAAGAGAATTATCCAATGCTTTTGAATGACGCCTTCTTTCCTCTCGAGAACGGCTTTACAGGATGGTCCAAAAGTGGCTCTTGCCCCAACGCTACGTTCCAGATACTCTCAATGCTGATGGCCAGTCTAGTTTAGCCGCTGTGGACTTCAGAATACACATGCGTAAATACGTTTTTTCACATTTTCCCGCGGGAGGGGCTCCCCGCGGCCATTTTGGAAAAGCCCCAAAGAAGACAAAAGTGATTGCAGAGTAGTTTCAACGGTGGAGATAGGCATCAGTACGTCTATGGTCTCCTCTCTATTTATCTGACCCATGACTTACCCAGGTACTTGTTACATGGAGACAGTGTAGATTAGCTAGCTAGCTAGATTAGCATTTCTTTCATTCCAACTATAGCCTCTCAAAGTTTAACCCTTTAAGGATCACCTAATTTCGCCTGCTCCTTCTCGAATTATGATACCCAAATGGAAATGCTTATTGTGTGGACATCTTGTGTCTGATTTTGTGTTATGAGGCCTCCTTTGAAAGGTAAAACCTTCTAGTTTCTGAAAATGTATGTTACAGTTTGTTAGGAAGGACACAGTCTGCACTACAGCTTCTCAAACATGAGTCAAAGTTAGTTTTTTTTGTCAAAAAAAATAAAAGGCAATTTCAAAAGGTTCTCCTGAAGACATACTTTATGGTATGATGTTCAAACTCACCAGATCAGATGTTTGTGGTGTTGGAAACACCTATATGAAATTTTAGACCTTTAGGTGGAACTATTTTGATGCTGGGGGCTTTTTTGTAACTAATGGGCACATTCGGCACAAGTGGTCCATTTTTGTGCCAACTGTGCCAAAGTGTTTTACATGCAAATTATCAATGTTTTTACATCAAAAATCCATTTATATAATTTTTTGGCTATTACTCTTGCTATAAATAGAATTTTTTCCAGTTATTGAAAGGTTTGCAGAAAAGCTATTATTTATATAGTTATAGCGCGTGTTCTCCGTGAAAAAGGCTCCGTCTTCCTCTTTACGCATTCAAATATGACGGGAACAGTGGGAGGAAGCTAGAAGTCCGACACATCGCCTGAAACCTGAGATTATTGGCTACAAGATGATTTGATTGACATCCAAATCGGCCAATGGTAGTCAAGACAATGCTGTCGTGACGCACAGATATCTATGTGAATGGAGCGCTAAAGCTAGGTGCGCTTGTTTTCCTCAACTTACTCTACCTTCCAAACCATAGCACTGAAAAGTCCGGGAATGGGCTTGTTTTGAAGGGGAGGCTTAGGGGAAGACGAACATACCCAGTGACGCTAGGTAAACAGTAAAATGTCCTCTTCATACAGTGCGCAAAGAACAGGTTTTGTTTTTGTTTGTGCAACTTTCAATGCTCAAATATGTTGTTGCAAGTGGATATCTACTATAAGGATGACTTTGAAGAAAAAACAACTGGATATAATTATTCTCTAGACCCTAAAGAACAAAACGAATGCACACATGTGTGGATTAGACGTGATTTGCCCCAGAATATTAGCATGACAAGGTAAGAAAGGACAATATATATTTTAAATATATATACAGTTAGACTACTTATTCTTAATTTTGGTTATATTTAATGTTTATTTGAACATAATACGCGTTTAGAGGTGGGAATAAGCTTTCAAAAGAGATATAGCTTGACTATATTGACACAAGTGAATTCTAATACTGATGCTGTTAAATGAAAAATAACTGAATCCTCCCTGTACAGGGAGGGTGATCCTTAAGAGGTTAAGTGATTCAAACTTCGGTGCAAGCAGGCATTTTGGCACCAATGAAAAATAAACAGTTTACAAGACGCCTCCACGTAACATTTTTTTATTTTGATTTTTTTTCACTAAATTCAATAATTTATTTGCCATGTGCACTAAAACCAAATTGGTCTCAGGGGATCAAAAACCTGTTCTTTGGTGTCGGTTTTTCATTATGTCATTGTAAAAATTAAGAAATAGAGATAGACTTTAAAAGAGCTCTGCTTGTTACAAGTCTCTCCATAGCCTCGCACCAAAAGTGACATGTTTGGACTCCTACTGGGACTCTGAGGAGCACAGGGACTGGACTCCTACTGGGACTCTGAGGAGCACAGGGACTGGACTCCTACTGGGAATCTGAGGAGCACAGGGACTGGACTCCTACTGGGAATCTGAGGAGCACAGGGACTGGACTCCTACTGGGAATCTGAGGAGCACAGGGACTGGACTCCTACTGGGAATCTGAGGAGCACAGGGACTGGACTCATACTGGGAATCTGAGGAGCACAGGGACTGGACTCCTGCTGGTGCCCAGAGTCAGGACTAAGCATGGGGATGCTGCATTTCAGATTCATGCTGCTAAAATCTGGAATCTGGAACAATCTCCTGACCTAATTTGTACTATGGTGTGGTACGACCAGGCTAGAGAGAGAGAACCCAAATGTTTCGAGAGCGAGGGACTATGGATTTCATTGCATACTTCCATTTCTTGTAGTTTGAAAATTTTATACCCCAGCTTCAACTATCTCATTATACAAACTGCACACATCTGCTCCTCACTCCCCCTGCTGGCTGCTTACATGCACTGCCCTTCTATCACCTTTCTCTTCCTCTGTAATTGATATATATGAGATTGTAAATTGCGAGGGATTGCCTGGACTAGCACAGCAGCGGATTCAGCAGGTGAGAAATCATTATTGGGGCTTCAACACTGGCTCTGTGACCTGCCTCCCGGATCCTGCGGAGGCCGAGGAGCTTTGTGCTGACAACAACTGTTCTCCCTTTGTCCGAAATATACAGCGTGCCCTTGGACTAGGCCAGCATGGGGCAGTGCCAAGCCACAGCGTGTATCCGCCTATCTCCCTCATTATACTTTAATCACACTTTTCTCTGCGCAGGGTGAGGGGAGGTAACGCTTTCTTGCCTCCGGAAAGACGTGTAAAGTGAATAAAAGGGGAAAAAAATAACCTACTCGTTCTTCCTCTAGTTCTGAGGCAGAGGACAGTGGCGACGCAGAGCAGGGCGAGCAACAGCAGAGCGGAGAGAGAGCCCAGCAACGCCACGGCAACGGTGAGGTCGCCCGTATCCAGCACCTCTGCAACTGTCAACAGATAGAGACATCAGACATATTAAAGAAGACATGCTATGCTTTTTTTGTGGCTAGTAACTCATTTATTTATCTTTTATTTTATTATTTTAATTGACAGGGACATTGTGCATTAATAAATAATCCCTGTAATCCCCCGTCGAATCCCCCTCTCTTTGACGGGGGATTAAAGGAGAACAAAACAAGCGAGAAACTAACTTATTTTTGCGGATGAAAGTGGACAGTCCAGTCTTTCAGAATCTGGTTTCATATTTCACAGTCAAAGCACATAATATTCTGTGGTTCTTCAAAATCAGTGAAATCCTCCAAAACGGCTGGCAGTCAATGAGTTATTATGATAATGAGGTAAAACAGACTGCAGCTGTTTTGTTTCTTTATTAGCTTATTGTCCATTTTTAATGCGCTGGAAACGGCTGCAAGTCCTGAAACAGTTGTTGTTTTGAGTTTTACAATTGTTATTATTTTTATTATTTTTTTCTACCGAGATGTTGGTGCAGTACTGTGTTCATGGTTTTGCACTGGTCCAGACCAGAGCAGAGAGGGTTCATGGTCTAAACCAAGTGGATCGGGTGAAAATCCACTGGAGGAATGCTAAGAGAAAATGGTCTGAACCACCTCTGCTGCTGTGACCTGAAGGACTGTTGTATTTTAATACTGTTGCTAGCTTTTTAGGATGATCTTTTTATTTGTATTTTTTTCTGCTGCTGGACACCTGAACTGCCACCTTAACGTGGTGGGGGAGTTTGAGTACTCAGATGACCCTGGGAGCTATGCTGTCTGGGGCTTCATGCCCCTGGTAGGGTCTCCCATGGCAGACAGGTCTCAGGTGACGAGTCAGACGAAGCGCAGTCCAAAAAAAACACCATGGATCGCACTATAATGAGAGCAGTGACGTCGCCCGGCATGGCGCAGCCGGGGCCCCACCCTGGAGCCAGGCCTGGGGTCGGGGCTCGTATGCGAGCGCCTGGTGGCCGGGCCTTAGCCCACGGGGCCCGGCCGGGCCCAGCCCGAAGGGATGACGTGGGCAGTCCCTCCTGTGGGCCCACCACCTGCAGAGGGGTCCGTGGTGGCGCGGTGCTGAGAGGACTGGGCGGCAGTCGAAGGCGGAGACCTCGGCGACCCAGTCCGCACACACAACATCTGGCTCTTGGGACGTGGAATGTCACCTCACTGGGGGGGAAGGAGCCCTAGCTCGTGGGGGAGGTTGAGCGATACCGACTAGAGATAGTCGGCCTCACCTCCACACACAGCTTGGGCTCTGGAACCCAACTCCTTGAGAGGGGTTGGACGCTCCACTTTTCTGGAGTTTCCCGCGGGGATAGGCGGCGAGCTGGGGTGGCCATTCTCATTGCCCCCCATCTCAGCCGCCATGTGTTGGAGTTCTCCCCGGTGAATGAGAGGGTCGCGTCCCTCCGCCTCCGGGTGGGGGACAAGTCTCTCATTGTTGTGACGGCCTACGGGCCTAACAGCAGTGCAGAGTACCCGGCCTTCTTGGAGTCCTTGGGAGGGGTACTGGACGGTGCACCGCCCGGGGACTCCGTTATTCTCCTGGGGGACTTCAACGCCCATGTGGGAGTCGCCAGTGACACTTGGAGAGGGGTGATCGGAAAGAACGGCCCCCCTGATCTGAACCCGAGCGGTGTTCAGTTGTTGGACTTCTGTGCCAGTCACAGTTTGTCCATCACGAACACCATGTTCGAGCACAAGGGTGTCCACCAGTGCACGTGGCACCAGGACACCCTAGGCCGGAGGTCGATGATCGACTTTGTTGTCGTATCATCTGACCTTCGACCGCGTGTCTCGGACACTCGGGTAAAGAGAGGGGCGGAGCTGTCAACCGATCATCACCTGGTTGTGAGTTGGATCCGCTGGCAGGGGAAGAAGCCGGTCAGACCTGGCAGACCCAAGCGTATAGTGAGGGTCTGCTGGGAACGTCTCGCTGAGCCCACTGTCAGACGGACTTTCAACTCGCACCTCCGGGAGAGTTTCTCCCAGGTCCCGGCGGAGGAGGGGGACATGGAGTCCGAGTGGACCATGTTCTATGCCTCAATCGCCGATGCGGCGGCTCGTAGCTGTGGTCGCAAGGTCTCTGGTGCTGGTCCCGGCGGCAACCCCCGAACCCGGTGGTGGACACCGGCAGTAAGGGATGCTGTCAGGCTGAAGAAGGAGTCCTATCGAGCCATGATGGTTCGGGGGACTCCTGAGGCAGCTGTCCAGTACCGGCAGGCCAAGCGTGCCGCGGCCCGGGCTGTTGCAGAGGCAAAAACCCGGGACTGGGAGGAGTTCGGAGAGTCCATGGAGCATGACTATCGGTCGGCCTCGAAGAGATTCTGGCAAACCATCCGGCGCCTCAGGAGGGGGAAGCAGTTCTTTGCCAACACCATGTACGGTGCGGGTGGAGAGCTGCTGACCTCGACTGGGGATATTGTCGGGCGGTGGAAGGAATACTTTGAGGTTCTCCTCAATCCCCCCGTCACGTCCTCTGTTACAGAGGCAGAGGCTGAGGATGTTGAGGCGGATACATCCATCTCCCTGGCTGAGGTCACCAAGGTGGTTGGTAGCCTCCATGGTGGCAAGGCTCCGGGTGTGGATGAGATCCGCCCTGATTATCTAAAGTCTCTGGATGTTGTAGGACTGTCTTGGCTGACACGTCTCTGCAACATCGCGTGGCGATCGGGGGCAGTGCCAATGGAGTGGCAGACCGGGGTGGTGGTCCCTCTCTACAAGAAGGGGGACCGGAGGGTGTGTTCCAATTATCGTGGGATCACATTCCTCAGCCTCCCCGGTAAGGTCTACTCCAGGGTACTGGAGAGGAGGTTACGGCCGATGGTCGAATCTCGGATCCAGGAGGAGCAGTGTGGTTTTCGTCCCGGTCGCGGAACACTGGACCAGCTCTATACTCTCCATCGGATACTCGAGGGTTCATGGGAGTTCGCCCAACCTGTCCACATGTGTTTTGTGGATTTGGAAAAGGCGTTCGACTGTGTTCCCCGGGGTGTCCTTTGGGGGGTTCTCCGGGAGTACGGGGTCGGGGGTCCTCTGCTGAGGGCCATCCGATCCCTGTATGACCGGAGCCAGAGCTGTGTTCGCATTGCCGGCAGTAAGTCAGACCTGTTCCCGGTGAATGTTGGCCTCCGACAGGGCTGCCCTTTGTCACCGGTTCTGTTCACTGTATTTATGGACAGAATATCTAGGCGCAGCCAGGGGTCGGAGGGGGTCCGGTTCGGAGACCACAGGATTTAATCTCTGCTGTTTGCGGACGATGTCCTGTTGGCTCCAACGAACCAGGACCTGCAACATGCACTGGGGCGGTTTGCAGCCGAGTGTGAAGCGGCTGGGATGAGAATCAGCACCTCCAAATCCGAGGCCATGGTGCTCGACCGGAAAAAGGTGCCTTGCCCTCTGCAGGTGGGTGGAGAGGTCCTTCCTCAAGTGGAGGAGTTCAAGTATCTCGGGGTCTTGTTCACGAGTGAGGGAAGAATGGAGCGTGAGATTGACAGGCGGATCGGTGCAGCGTGCGCAGTGATGCGGTCGCTGTATCGGACCGTTGTGGTGAAGAGGGAGCTGAGCCGAAAGGCAAAGCTCTCAATTTACCGGTCAATCTTCGTTCCCTCCCTCGCCTATGGTCATGAACTTTGGGTAATGACCGAAAGAACGAGATCGCGGATACAAGCGGTCGAAATGAGCTTCCTCCGCAGAGTGGCTGGGCGCTCCCTTAGAGATAGGGTGAGGAGCTCAGTCACACGGGAGGAGCTCGGAGTAGAGCCGCTGCTTCTCCACGTCGAGAGGAACCAGTTGAGGTGGCTCGGGCATCTGTTCCGGATGCCTCCTGGACTCCTCCCTGGGGAGGTGTTCCGGGCACGTCCCACCGGGAGGAGGCCCCGCGGAAGACCTAGGACACGCTGGAGGGACTATGTCTCTCAGCTGGCCTGGGAACGCCTTGGGGTCCCCCCGGACGAGCTGGAGGAAGTGTGTGTGGATAGGGAAGTCTGGGCGTCTCTGCTTAGGCTGCTGCCCCCGCGACCCGGCAACGGATAAAGCGGAAGAAAATGGATGGATGGATGGATGGATGGACACCTGAATTTCTCCTACGGGATCAATAAAGTATTTATCTGTCATTCAAAGTTGATTTGGTGATTCTGGAAGTGGGAAAAAGTGAAGCTGCAAATGGAACCACAGTGTAGTCAAAACTCAATAGACAAAACAGCATGGTTGATATTTTTTGTGTTATTTTTCATAATCATACATAATTATTTTTATTTTGTGTATAAAGCTGGCAGACTTGTTGGTCTTAACTTTGGTATTTGGTCTCAGTGCAGCACTTTATAAACTTCATCAAATGTGCTATATAGATAAAGTAGATTGGATTATGCTCAGGTCAGCTGTTGTTGTTAAGATTTGCTGAAGGTGCTTGCGTCTGAAGTGCTTCGTACCCACAGTGAGGCGCACCGTGCTGCGGAGTGGAGCTGTCATGGCCGACACTGACACCGCACACTGGACGTCGCAGCTGGAGGCGGCTTTGACGCTGAGGTTGGTGCTGACGGAGAACTGGCCCCGACCGCTCTCCGTCCAGCTCAGGTTATAATCAGCACTGCTCACCTGCTCAACACACATACATGCACACACACACAGGCACACACATACACACACAGGCACACACAAACGCACACACACACACACAGGCACACACACACAGGCACACACAAACGCACACATGCATACACACACACACACACACACAGAGGCATGTGCACATACAAGCAGACACCCACATACACAGGTGCACATGTACACAAACATACACACAAACACACACACACACACACACATATAAGCATAGACACATATGTACACACACAGGCACAGACACACACACAGAGGCATGCACACATACAAGGACAGACACCCACGTACACAGGCGCACATGTACACACACATACACACACACGTACACATACAAGCATAGACACACAAACACACACAACAGATTATGTAGCTGACATTTTGAGGAACTCTTCAGGCTAATGATACAATAAATGGCTTCAGCACTTCTTTCCCACTTCAAAATGTAATCTAGAATTTGCTATTTAGATTTTATTTTTTTCTGTAGAATGCAGCTTCAGTCATGACGCAGTGACCCCGGTGATTATGGTTTGGGGTTGTGTGTGGAGGAAAGCTCACGGCCACATGCCTGATCCTTCCAAACCTCTTCATGTGTGTTTGCTTCTGCCGAGGCCTGACTTCAGAATGATCTCAGTGTCACATATTTCAGGACTCTTCCAGCTGCTCTCTTCTCTCTTTCCCTTCCTTTTCCTTCAGGAGATATTTCCCTCTAACTATAAGTTCATTCAGCTCTGTACTTTAGGCTGGAGGGTGTCTTTCTGCTGGAACACTGTCTCCAGCTCTTTCAGACTCTTTGACTTGAGGCCTCTCTTCTCGAGTGTTTGGAGCGTCCTGAAGCTGCAGTCTCAGCTTTTCTCCATCCTGTTTGTCATTATCACTATCGTCTCAAATGTAAAGTGATAGCTCTACGGTTTGTGCTGCTGCTGTCTTTATCAAATGGATAAATCAAGGAAAATACATCTGCGACAAAAGTATTATATTAACCAATTAAAAAAATCAAACACAAACTTTCCCTCCACAGAGATATTAAAACAAAACACAATTTCATCCATAAAACATTCCAATCATAAAAACGTGCACTTAATAATAAAATTGATTGTAAGTCATGATAATAAATGAGTAATTAAATGCTTGGTTTGTTCAGTGTGGCTGGCTCTAGGTTCTGTTCTTTCTCCTCTGGGTCCTGCAGACTGAGAGCTGTGTCCACACGGAGCCTCTCAAACTCTGAGTAAAACATGAGTGAGCTCCTGCAGGATCTGTGGGCCTTTCCTTCACAGAGGGCAGAGGGCGGTGAGCGGAGACTGCCCAAACACAGAGGGCGGTGAGTGGAGACTGCCCAAACACAGAGGGCGGTGTGTGGAGACTGACACACACAGAGGGCAGTGAGCGGAGACTGCCCAAACACAGAGGGCGGTGTGTGGAGACTGACACACACAGAGGGCAGTGAGCGGAGACTGCCCAAACACAGAGGGCGGTGAGCGGAGACTGCCCAAACACAGAGGGCGGTGAGCGGAGACTGCCCAAATACAGAGGGCGGTGTGTGGAGACTGCCCAAACACAGAGGGCGGTGAGCGGAGACTGCCCAAATACAGAGGGCGGTGTGTGGAGACTGTCCGCACACAGAGGGCGGTGAGCGGAGACTGCCCAAACACAGAGGGCGGTGTGTGGAGACCTGGCCCGGACTGGCCATCGGGAGCATCGGGAGATCTCCCGGTGGCCTGCGTGTCAAAGTGGCCTGGGCCTGCCCTATCATCACGGTCTTTATTTTTGTTTTTCATTTGTTTTTTTTTTTTCTTTTAATTTAATTTCATCCTCACGGTCTTTGCAAACTCCTACCCTGCCTGGTGGCCTGGTCCAATGAGCAAGGCCCAGGCCAAAGCCAGTGTTGTGCGTGAACGAGTTCAAAAGAACGCGTTCATTGAACACGCTCATTTTTTCGTGAACGTTGAACTGAACGCAACACATTTTTTAATAAAGAACTTGAACGTGAGAACGTGAATTAGTTCATATTATGTGTGTCATGAACGGCAGACAATTTGTTTTCCATTTAAAACTGAGTGAAATTGGTTTTCTCTTTTGAAACGCAACGAGAGAAAGTTCCTCCCTCCTGTATTCTCCGCACTGTTTCCGCCGAAAACTAAAAATTCCTACGGTTTCCACCGTCTGTGAACGCACCCCGACTCAGTGTACTTGCGGTGCGGCGCTATATGCTAGTGCTATTCATTGGTTGTTGGACTCACATGTGCCGTGATGAAAACACAGGGGTAAGTCAGTGACACAGGGCCGTTTACATTTGACATAAAGTATAGACTCACGTTCTGCAGCGCATTACAGTTTGTACTTATGAGCAGAGATGGGACAACTCAGTTCCCATTGAAACCCATGTCAATCTTCTCTGCATTGGAGTCAAAACATCCTGTGCAGTGTACAGGATATAATATATATATATACCACGTATTGTGATTTCTAGCTCGTAGTGAAAAAAAATATTTATTTGAATATCTCGCAAAAAGTAAAATGAACTGAACTTTGAACTAGTTCAGAATTAAAATTGAGAACTTCGAACGTGAACTGTTCACTTTGAGCATGTATGAACTGAACTTGAACTAGTTCAGAAAAGCTGTGAACTGGCACAACACTGGCCAAAGCTTTACTGTCATTGGGCCAGAGCAAAATTAAACAAATGTGACGTCACACGTCGGCTACACAGCCAGGCCAGCCTAGCAGTGCACCCAGTGTAGCTTCCCCGGTTGAAATGAGTGGTCTCTCCAACTGATGGTTCATACACGTTTTTATTTTTCCTTTTATATGAGCTGTAACAATGTGATTTTACCTTACTACTTTTTTAACAATAATTGATTAGCTTGTTATAGTTATACACTAATGAACACTTAGTTCATTGTGTGTGTGTGTGTGTGTGTGTCTTTATTCTCACTAAACTCCATAAACGTTACGTTGCTAAGCAACGTACAACAATCCTTAAACGTCCAAGATTATATAAACAGTCAATATAAAAAAAAAAATAAAGAAAACAAAAGTTTTGACAGTCAATCTTAAAACTATTAAAAGAACATCAAAATACAATGACAAAAACCCAAATTTAGAACCTTGTTTGGCCTGAATGGATGAAAAGCTCCCGGCCTGAAATGTTGTCCCACTCCGGCCCTGGTGGAGACTGTCCGCACACAGAGGGCGGTGTGTGGAGACTGACACACACAGAGGGCAGTGAGCGGAGACTGCCCAAACACAGAGGGCGGTGAGCGGAGACTGCCCAAACACAGAGGGCGGTGAGCGGAGACTGCCCAAACACAGAGGGCGGTGTGTGGAGACTGACAAACACAGAGGGCGGTGTGTGGAGACTGACAAACACAGAGGGCGGTGAGCGGAGACTGCCCAAACACAGAGGGCGGTGTGTGGAGACTGACAAACACAGAGGGCGGTGTGTGGAGACTGACAAACACAGAGGGCGGTGTGTGGAGACTGACAAACACAGAGGGCGGTGTGTGGAGACTGACAAACACAGAAGGCGGTGTGTGGAGACTGACACACACAGAGGGCAGTGAGCGGAGACTGCCCAAACACAGAGGGCAGTGAGCGGAGACTGCCCAAACACAGAGGGCAGTGAGCGGAGACTGCCCAAACACAGAGGGCGGTGAGCGGAGACTGCCCAAACACAGAGGGCGGTGAGCGGAGACTGCCCAAACACAGAGGGCGGTGAGCGGAGACTGCCCAAACACAGAGGGCGGTGAGCAGAGACTGACACACACTCTGTGCTCAGCACAACGTGTTAGTTCCGCAGAGTGTCGCCAGCACCTTATGGACCACATGTAGGTCAGGTCCATATCCATGTTTGAGGAGGAGGCAGATATATCGATACAGTACGACATAACTGAGTTTGGGGAAAACCAAACTGTGTTTGTCATTGGCTTCATCCGATCCACAGCAGCAGGAACAAAGGTCGAGCAATGTTGTTTATGTGCCGTGTCCTACAGAAAGTTATCAGATACTGCTAACATGTACAGTAGTATCACATGCTGCTAATATGTACAGTACACTTGTACAAGTATATATTTATTTGCACTAGACTCTAGTGACTAGAGTATACAGGTTTATACCAGTTTATTCTTTTTGTACCTTTATACTGAAGATACAGATGTTATATAGTGCTACGCTTATCGTCGTAACGTGTCGTGCTCCTCATTCCCAATGTTCTGTAACTAATGATGAAATACAGAAATGTCCCGAATAAAGAATCTCTGAATGTGAATCTCACCTGTTTGCCGTTGAGGAGCCAGTGCAGAGTGGGCAGAGGGTACCATCCTTCTGCGTGACATTCAAACTCCACAGAGTGCTCTTTCAAAGCCATCCTCGACTGCCCCAAGACCCTCACACTGCCCTTTTCTGAGGAGAGACAAAGCCTGTTTCAGCATTCTGGTCACGCATGACTAAAACATTTGCATATGTGGAATAAATCTGACATGGGAACTCTGTGCCTGGAGAGCGACTGAGGTAAAAGTTCAGACTCACTTTGAAAGAGTCACAACTGAATATTAGTCTGAATGTTATAGTAAGTTGTTGTATTGTCATGGTGATTTACAAACCCAGCCTTATCTTTGGTCCATTTCCCTTCAGCAGATTTGACTTCACAAGTATGAATGAACTAACAAGGGCGTAAAACTTTTGTATTCAAAACAAAGTACTTGAATTTTAAGCTTTTTTGTGAGCGGCTCAAATCTATGTACATTAGCGCCAGACAATTGTGATTTGAGACTAAATCAAAAACTGATATTCTAAGAGTTCTGAGCTTTACAACGAGTTACAGCATGACTATATTGGTGGAGCTGAAGTTGGCTGGATGACACTGTGAAAGTACCTCAACAAAATGAACAGCGGGCCTTAGTTTGGATTTTTAAAGCAACGTATGGAATTCTGGCTCATTCTTCCTCACGGAAAGGGTGTAACTGAGCCAAGTTTTTTTTTGGCCACAACCATAGTTACACAATTTGACTTTGAGTTTGAAATCAGGGCTTTGCAGTCACAGGGAGAACATGCAAACTCCACTCTGAAAGGCCCTGTTCTGATTGGGTTTTGAACCTTCACGTGCCACTCCACATGAAGAGAACGTGCAGGTAAAACTTTCAGAAGTCCATTTACGTCTGTAATTCATCTTATATTGTGAAACTAATATGACAGACTCAATGTACGCAAAGTGGGAAATATAAAGTATTTTTTGTTCCATTGTTGATTATTGGCTAGTAAAAATAACAAGTCACTTTGCATTGAAAATTCTAATTATCCAAGTTTTACCTGCACTTTTTGACCAGATATGACTTGAACAGACAGAAGACCAGCACAACATGGATTAGTTGTAATTGGGCCAATACTGACATTTATTCACCAAACACCAAGATATGGTCTATTCGATTTGCATTATAATGAAATGAACAACACCACTTCCTGTCTGAGAATAATCCAGACAATACCGGCCTTTTCTCCCCTAATTTGATTAAACCTGCTACGGACACCAATATTACCATCGACTGCACCGTAAATGCCACGGGATCAGTTTTCATTTGCCACTTTCAAACTATTTGATATGGCATTTATTTCACTGATTGATCGCTTTTCTCTTCCACACGTCCCACTTAGGTCTGCAGCAAAGACCAAAGAGGAGTGGACTGAACCAGTTCTGACGTCAAAGTGTTTTCCAAACGTGGGAGAAGCCGATGTGAACACAAAACAGCTGGTTCCAATTTTCTTATTTGGGCATTTGTGATAATGAGGTGACTCAAGCATCATGGTAGTAGTTCAATGGATGCTAGTTTATCCGACTAATCCAGCTCTGAGGGAAAGTTATTTCAGATATAGTGAAAACGCAACAAACAATTTCCCAAATACAATCTTCAGAAAAACTGTAGGTTCTGTGTCATTGAAACACGAGCTGTTTGAAATGATGAAAAATACATGTGCATTTATGGGAAAAGTCTTTTGGACCCAGAGGGTGCAGTACCGTGGTTTGACTTTTCGGGTTTTGGCATCATGAGCATGGACAGTTCATTTTTACACATCCAACCCTTTTGAAACATGGATTCTAAGGCAAGCTTCCACGAATGGATGTGACCAATCCTTATGGGTAATTAGCTTAAATCCCATAATACTTTTTGGCTAGGGGAAGTTTCTCTCAAGGAAGCACTAGGATCATGGTGAGACTTAAACCACCGGTCTCAGTACTCTAATACAATAGTAATGATCGCCATCTGCTGTCCGTTTGAAGAACTGCACCATTCAAATAAACAGGACGTGAGGAAGATGCTTTGTCCCTGTTTGACTTTCTATATTTTAGATTGTGTGCATTAGATCAATAACTTATGACTTCCCCACAAACAATTATGATGTTGTGCAAGAAGCAAGGATCTGGATTTACAAATATAATATCAAAATAAAGACACCAGGATCACAGAGAGCGCTAAATCACAGACGCAAGCAGTAACTGACTGTGAACGCTGTTTCTTTAACCTGGACACAAGGCAATCAGACAAGTTTGTAAGATTTCTACTTGCTTTTTACAAGGAGATCTAAAAAACATTGCCAGGATCAAAAACATAGTGTCTAAAGCAGACTTGGAGATTCTTATCCATGCATTTGTCTCCAGTAGGTTAGACTACTGCAATGGCCTGCTCACAGGTCTGTCCAAACAGGCTGTAAAACAGCTGCAGTACATTCAAAATGCAGCAGCTCGAGTCCTGACAAGAACCAGGAAGTACGAACACATTAGTCCTGACTAGAACCAGGAAGTACGACCACATTAGTCCTGACTAGAACCAGGAAGTACGACCATATTAGTCCAGTTCTCAGGTCTCTGCACTGGCTTCCTGTGGCTCAGAGAATAGACTTTAAAACAGCTCTGCTTGTGTACAAGTCTCTCCATGGCCTCGCACCAAAATATATTAGTGACATGTTAGTCCCATATGAACCAGCCCGGACTCTGAGGAGCACAGGGACTGGACTCCTGTTAGTGCCCAGAGTCAGAACTAAACATGGGGAGGCTGCTTTTCAGATTCATGCTGTTAAAATCTGGAACAGTCTTCCTGAAGATGTGAGACAGGCCTCCTCTCTGACAATGTTTAAAACCAGGTTAAAGACAGTTCTGTTTAACTGTGCATACAACTGAGGGATTTTATATTTTTATCTTTCTTTTTAATGTTCTGTGATTATTTATGATTTTAATGCTTTCTTGTTTTGTTCAGCACTTTGAATTGCCTTGTGTATGAATTGTGCTATATAAATAAACTTGCCTTGCCTTGAGAAGAAGACCAAGAAAGAGAAGAACAAGGTCAGTTGAGTTGGACTGAACTCAAAAACAATCATTGCCATAATAATCTAAACACACAATTTATCTACCTCTAACCTAGAGGAGTTACTTTTCAATGTCATCAAGAGTCAGAGCGAGTAGCAGCAAAACTTCGACCATGAGCACTTCCTTGTTGGGCTTCCTTGAGCTATCTATATCAGGTCTATGGTCTTACATCTGCTGCATGGAGCCTGCTGTGGGCTCAGTGGAAAGGCAGCGCGATTGTTGTGGACAAGGAGATGATTACAGAAGCCGGGGAGTGTTGTCGATGGGAATGACATGTCTGAGTTGATTTAGCCGCGAGCCTTTTGATGCGGTGAGAGGGGGGGGGGGGGGGGGGATGATTGGATGTCATAAACATGCAGCGATACTCGAGCTGTAGAGGGAACAAAGACGTACACCGAAACAATAGTCTGATGGATACTGACGAGAGCAGATGATGGACAGCTTTATGAGATGTGTTTGGAGATGTTTACATGAGCACAGAATATGGACCGAGAGAAAAACTCTATCAAGGTCAAAAGGTTGAATGAAGCCACGATGTAATCAAAAAGGCCAAAATCTAGAACTACTTTAAAACCAGTGTGTGGAACATACATTATTGTCCCTGCAGAGAAATGTGTCCTCTGCATTTGACCCATCTTTTGTTACCACGAGGGCCTCAGTCAGGAGCAGCACCCGGGGCCCATCTCCAGATCCTGAGGCTCGGCTCGGATAGGACCAGAGCTGGTTGATTTTGCCTATTGTGGTGGTACGCAGAAAAGCCCATTTTTGACCGGGATTTGAACCCAGGACCTTCTTGCTGAGAAGTGAGAGTGCTAACCACTCTGTTCTTATAAAATGATTTAAAGGGATGCAATACTTTTTTTTATTTTGGTGGAGAAGTCTTAATTAAAAATACAGAGGGCAGCATGTCCAAATGAGTTCAAATGTGGCGACAGTAGCTCAGTTGGTAGAGCATTGGCCTTTGAGCCTGAAGGTTGTGGGTTCAAGCCCACCATGAGACCTTCCCCACCGACTCCCACTGAGGTATACTGTCGTTGTATCCTTGGGCAAGACACTTCTTTGCCTGAGGCCCCCACTGACAGATCAGCCGTCCTCCTGTGGACTCACCATCTGCAGGAGGATCAGTGAGGGGCTGGTGCTCTCTGAACTGGGTGCAGCTCTGACCCAGAAATGGATTAAGGGGAAGAAAATGGATGGAGTTCATTGGTGTTTGAGCAAATGTACAAAAATCCTGAATTGTTTGTAGAAACAATTTGCATAACCTGTTTAGGTTTATCAAAACAGATTGGATTTTTGATGATGTTAGTGCTAAGGCTTACCACACCCATAGGTTATAAATCTCCAACGCGCGGTCCGAGAATTCATTCCCTGAAGAAGTCCCCAGGTTGAGGACGAAACGTCGGGAAAACTTGCTAAGAAGTACAGATGATGGGTGAGAAACCTTCCTTTGCTTTGACTAATCCCTGTACGACTGAGGGCTTACACAAACTTAGTGCTAAGACAATACTTTAAACAGTAAATTGGTTATTCACTTTGATCTAATGTTCTTCATTGACTTTCAATTCAATTCAATTCAACGTATTCTTGTATCGCCCTAAATCACAACAGTAGTCATCTCAGAAGACCTAATAAAACCGTTGAAATCACCAACACAGATCAGAGAATCAGTTCAAACACAAAGCTATAGAACCCATGGTGTTGGTCCACAGGGAGTTGACCAATGTCCGTGAATGTTGATAAATGTCCATAAATATTGTAGAATGTTTGCGCGTGACTTTCTACTTTTAATACAGACTCAATATTCATTTTGATAAACCGGCGTCTTGTGCAGTTCCAAAGCTGCTTCTGTTTCCCCGCAGCAGTTTGTGAAGCAGCCACATCGATTCTCGGCCTGCGTCTGTGAGCCGCGAGAGAAGCTAAAGTGTAGCTCTGTGACTCTTCATATTTACATCGCCTCATGCCGGACAATTAACTGGTGCTGGGAGCGGACCCGGCGGCACACCCTGTACACGCTCCGGGGCCTCGGCTGGATTTACGGGCCCCGTCCAACAGTAAATTGCGCTCCGCAGTGCACAAATCAAACCAGAGTTGCTGACTGTTAGCGGGGCGTGCCAGGATGGACAATTAATGGCGGGGCTGTGTCAGGTCCCGGTGATGGTGCGCGTCCATGAGGGCCCGGATCGTCCACACAGCACTGGGAACGGGGGGTGTGTGTCAGAGCAGATTTGTGGCCTTTACCACCAGAGATGCTCCTCCCTGTGATATACGGGGAGGCGAGGGTCATTGGTCCTGCTGCAATTCACTTTGGAAGTAATAGTCATTCATTAAGTCATTTTAAGATGAGGTCTCAATTTAATGTGTGTCTATAAAGGACAATGCCATCGGGGAAAATGTCCTCGCTGTTAATCTATGTCCCTACAATGGTGAAGGAAAGATACAGGCAGTGGAGGAAAATCAACTTTATTTATAGTGTACATTACACTACTGTTTATTATGTGCCCAAAATTATAAATAAAGTTGAAAAAAAAAAAAAGAAAATCAACTTTATGTGGGACTTTGAATTTGGCCAAAAGAAGAGGTTCACGTCCTCTTAAAGCCCCTGATAGTATATTTACAAAATGCAATGAAAAATCATAGTCTCCGCACCATCTCAAAGATTAAAAACATTCTCACTCCTCCCGATCTCCATAAAGTAGTTAACGCCCTCATCTTCTCCTCCTCGACTACAGCAACTCCCTCATCTCCGGTCTCGACTCCAAATCCCTCTCCCGCCTCCAACTGGTTCAGAACTGGTTCAGAACGCAGCAGCCAGACTTCTCACTGGTTTTAACAGAAGGGAGCACATCACCCCTGTCTTAGCGTCCCTCCACTGGCTCCCTGTGCGCTTTAGAATTGATTTTAAGATTTTACTGATTATTTTAAAGCTCGTTTAAGTCTGCAACCCATTTTTTTTTAACCCCCTACAAGCCCCCCCGCAGCCTTAGATCCTCGGGCAGGTCCCTGTGACTGTTCCAAGGGCGAGGCTCCGGACGAAAGGTGACCGAGCCTTCTCTGTCCGGGCTCCTCGGCTTTGGAACCACCTGCCCGAGGAGATAAGGCACCATCAGTCTCCTCTTTTAAATCCCTTCTTAAAACCCACTTTTATCAAACAGATTTTAACTGTTAGATCTAAACTTCACCTGCTGTATTTTAATGTCTGCTTTGTCTTTGTTGTGTCTTTCTTCTTGTGTTTTGCTCTGTCTCCTTTGTTTTCCTCTATCTATTCTATCTAATTATTTTGACTTTGTATAATGACTGTTTTATTGTTTATTATACTGACTGTGCAGCGCTTTGTAAACATTGTTTTTAAAAGTGCTATACAAATAAAGATTTATTATTATTATTATCATTATTATTATCCAGCCAACTCCAGCTCCACCACTATAGACATGCTATACTCCGTAGTAAAGCCAGCTCGGCCGTGGGACATTCAAACCGAGCCGCCAAGGAATAAACAATCAGGACCAGATTCTCTCCTTACTTCTTGGTCACTTGACACAGTAGCGCTGAAATGTGTGGAGGCTGAAGTGTAAACAGATGTTCAGGTTCTGAAGAGGCTCCTGCACGGTGCACCGAGGCTCATAATGAAGTTTGGAGCACGTAATTACAAACGCAATTTAAAGAGAAAGACTTGTGGAGGAATTCATGGAGAGCTGAGGGTAAATTATGATGTCATTATTATACTCGGCCTCACCACGGCTCCTGCCCGTCATCCTGCCTCATCCCCACGGAAAACAGGACATTAAAACTCACGCTGTTGATAAACGTATTCTGCCGATTGTTCTGAGGGGATTCTGTATGTTTTGCTTATTTTATGCGTGTCCCCTGGATGAGTTTTGTGGAAACTTGTGACATAGTAGTTGGACTAATGCTCGGGTCCGGTAAAAACATCCTGAGGCCCGTGTTACAGATTCTTCCCATGTCAGTGTGAAGAAAGTTACATATTGTGCCCGTGCGCATCATGCTGTTGTGCAAATACAGCAATGTGCCCGTTTAGACGGAGGCGCAGACGTTTCAAAGCTATTAAGAGAAACGACCAGGCTCCTAATACAAATTTCACAGCGTTCATACAAGGATCAAAAACGATGTAGTTCTAGCGCCCGGCCAGTAGAGGGCAGAAGAACTTTACAACACAACACAACTGAGCCCCAGCCCCCCCCAGCAGTGTACTCACTTCCTCTGCAAGACGTGAAAGATGCACCAACATCATTCTGTATTTTAACAGCAGCTGAGAAAATGGAAACTGAACCTAGAGCTTCGCGAGGTCTCGTTTGGACGAACGAAGGTGTAGAATCCTCCTCCGTGTAGCGCTTGAAGCACACGTGGCTAGTTAGTGCACACGCCGAGGAGGTGGGGTCAGGCAGGGAATTCACACCTTTTTCTTCACGAGGGTGTGAAAGAGCGCCCCCTGCTGAGCAGCGTATCTGAGCTGTCCCACTCTGCAGGCTGGATCTGAACACTTAAGTTTTCACCTGGGACACAGTCTCCTTGTGAGTGGAGGGTAGCAACCGACATCCAACTATAGCATTTTACTGCTGCATTGTCTCTGTATAAACGGGGCCTAACACTGCCTGTTTGCTTTTGGGGGGGGGGGGCGTTTGTTTCGTGGATGTGGGGTGCGTTTGGGTGCGGTTCTGCGCAATTTTTGTCTGACGTTAAATCGGTTCATGGCACTAAAAAGGTGGAGATCACTGAACAATCTGCGGAACAAAGTGGAGAAACTAGACACCAGGAGAATCCGGGTTCCAGGTGAGACCTCTGTCCTCCGCAGGGCTTTGCTTTCCCAGATAACAACTCTTTAGCACAATGCAAAGCTGATTGTTATCTCCCTCCGCGGGGCTAACCCAAAGCCGGGGTGAGGAGAGGCCAACCGCAGCCTGTAAATCCTGTCTGTAGTGAGAGCTGAGGAGCCCGGCACTTTGCACCTGGTATTTATAACTAGCAGCCGATCAATTCTAACCCCCCCAGACCCCCCCGCCCCTAAACGCCCCTCTCACTGTCATTAAGGATTTGAGCGCGGCCATCAAACACCCACCCATAGAAGTTGGAGTGATTTGCTTCCCGTTGCGGGTCCCTAAGGCGCAGCTTTTACCAAAACACTAAAAACTTTTCTGGTATCGATCAGTTCACCGCAAAGGAATAAATCATGAGTGGATCATTAGGAAGTGTGCTTTGGGAGAGAGAGGAGGCTGTGAATGGGGCGATGATGTCACAGAATTAAGTTCGGGACGCATTTGTTTGGAGCCTTTTTTGAGCTGCACGTTTTTTATGATTTATTTTTAAACTAAGTTTCTTTTACTGGTTTTATTTGCCCTGCTCGACGGAGTAAGCGGATTTTAACAGACTGCATAAAAAAGGATTACTGTCACTTTTAACAGGACTGTTTATCAGCCTTTTACCGGTAACCAGCCTGCCCACACACATCACCATGGACACCGATGCTCCCCCCGCGAACTCATACAAACAGATATACAAATCACAACTGGCTTCAATCCTCCCATCCAAACCTGTAAACACCATGACCCCCGAGGAACTTCAGCGCACTGTCAAAGAACTATCCACCGAACTCATACATAAAGAGAAACTTCTGGAACATTTCATGGACATATCATTCAAACAGTCACAGCAAATATCCCTCTCCGTACTCAGACAATCACAGCTCCACGACACTGCACTCTGGGATCCAATCGCCTGTCCTCACCCCTCATCATGCTCTACCCCGGTGCTTACCTCACGCTCCCCGGTTGCAGCTGTCCCTCTTGGTGCTCTTCCCTCCTCTACGGTCCCGGAGCCTGCTGCCCATACCCAGAGCGGCGTGGAGCAGAGGCCTGGAGGCCACACGACATCCACGGCGTCCTCGCGCCGCAGGTTGGTGGAGGAGGCTGTGCGCAGACGCTCGGGGAGCTTCCCACGCTCTAAAACAGCGCGGGGCTCTCCGGGTGTCACGCAGGACCAACTGCGGGAAGCCCCGGGGGGATCTCTGTGCCCCGACGCGGCACCGGATACCCCCGGGAGCGCTGTCCCTGCTGTGGGAGGGTCCGTGTGCTCTGACGCGGAGGGAATCCCCAGAGGCGAGACACAAAGCAGGTCCTACGCTGAGGTGGCCGCGGGGGGACCTCTGCGCCCTGGCACGGCGTGGAGTCCTCCCGTAGACGCTGCATCGCTCGCGGGGGGGTCCCTGCGCCGTGCCGCGGCGCAGAGTCCTCCCGTAGTTGCTGCCTCGCCCGCGGGGGGGTCTCTGCGCTTTATCTCAGCGCGGAGCTCCCCCGCGGAGGCTGTCTCGCCTGCTGGAGGATCTCTCCGCCCGGTGCATGGCCCTCCCACAACCGCCCGCACTACCACCACCACCAACCCCGCTGCAGGGGCGCCGGTTCGGTCTCCGGCTCCCTCCTCCTGCTCCACTGCAGCTCACGGGGCTCGCAGCAGCTCTGCTCCGGGCGCATCCCAACACTCTCCTGTCCCCTGCTCTCCCCCGGGCCCTACTCCAGTCACACCCTCCCCTCCACGACCTCTGTTCGCACCAACTACACTCCTGGTGGGGGACTCTATCATCAAACACTGTAAGTTCTTCAATGCCATCACGCACTGCTTTCCCGGAGCCACTGTCCCTACCATCCTCACTAAACTACCCGCACTTCTACAGACAGCACCCCCCACAATAACCCGGATCATAATTCATGTTGGTACAAATGATGCTGCACTCCGCCAATCTGAAATCACCAAACTCCATTTTAAGGACCTTTTTAACCTTTTATCAAAAACCGGAAAAAGTGTTTTTATCTCTGGCCCTCTGCCCACGTTGAACCGGGGCGTGGAACGTTTTAGCAGGATACTATCACTCACCACTTGGCTTCAAAAATCATCACAGCAGCACAACTTTGGTTTTATTGACAATTTTAATTTGTTCTGGAACCGCCACCCCTTCTTCACACCCGATGGACTCCATATCAATAAACTCGGCACCCGGTACCTGATTTCAAACATCACCCACTCAGTTCAATCCCGTCCCCCGCACCTCTGACAACCCATCACTCCATCCCACATCATTCCTGCCCCGCTGGACTCCAACATCAGTCCCTGCTCCCCCCCCCAACAAGGAATTTCAGTTCTGTCCAGACCCCGCCCCTACAGACCGTCCATACTCCGGAAACCGTCCCTCAACACCCTCATCCCTGTTGCCCTTTGCTCCTCCACATCATCTTCTCCCCTCACTACAAACAAAAATGACTCTCCATCCACCATCAGGTTTGCTCTTTTAAATGTACGCTCTCTTTTAAATAGAACTTTTATCATTAATGATTTGATTTTACAACACAAACTGGATGCTATGTTTTTAACTGAGACTTGGGTGTGTCCTCTGTTGTTGACCTGGCTATCTCTGACCACTATTGTGTGTTTTTTAAAATCACTGGTTTTGTTAAACAGGAGACCTCTGTGAGAACTGTGAAGAAACGACGTCTAACCCCTGAAGTGGCTGCAAATTTTATGGACTTTCTAAATAACACTCCTCAGTTGGTTTTACCTGCCCCCTGTGATTTTATAGCAGATGATTTTAACAGTAGACTAAGAACTACACTGGATCAGGTTGCTCCATTAAAAATTGTAACCATTCAACAAAAATCTATAGCCCCTTGGAAAAATGAGGAAGCAAGGAGTATGAAAAGACAGTGCAGGGTGGCAGAGCGAAGATGGAGAAAAAATAAAACGACAATCAATCACGAAACATATAAAAACCGACAGCAAATTTACAACAACACAATCAGGAAAAACAGGAACAATTACTTTGCAAAACTAATCAGCCAGAACAAAAATAATCCAAAAATCCTCTTTTCAACCATCGACACCATTTTAAACCCTGATTTTAGCATGTCTCTTTTAACCCCCACAGACTCCCTCTGTGAGGATTTTGCAGTCCACTTCATGGGGAAGATAAATACAATCAGATGTAACATTTTATCCAACCGCACAACTGTTTTTAACACATCCGATTGTTTGTCTTCACCAGAGGAAACACTGGACAGTTTTGTCCTGGTTGATGCTGAGATGCTTGATAAAGTTTTCTCCTCAGTGAGGCCCACCACATGTCTTTTAGATCCAGTCCCCACTCCATTTTTTAAGTCATTTTATGAATCTTTTAGAGAGGAGCTTTTAAACCTGATGAATTGCTCTCTTCAGACTGGGGTCTTTCCTGCAGCCTTCAAAGCGGCTGTGGTGAGGCCCCTTCTGAAGAAGAGCAATTTGGATTTGAATGATTTTAACAACTACAGACCGGTATCCAACCTACCATTTTTAAGCAAAAAGTAGACCACACCATTCTTTTATCACGCCTACAACACCTCGGCCTCTCTGGTGCTGTCCACAAATGGTTCACTTCTTATTTAACAGACAGATACTTCATGGTAAGTTTGGATACCTGCTCCTCTCAGGTCCATAAAATCACATGTGGTGTGCCCCAGGGTTCCATTTTAGGTCCAGTCCTTTTTAACCCGTACATGCTCCCTCTTGGCGGTGTCATCAGGAGACATGGAATTGACTTCCACAGCTATGCAGATGATACACAGCTGTACATCTCCATGTCTCCTGACGACACCAGGCCAATGGATGCTCTTTTTAACTGCATTTTAGACCTGAAATCCTGGATGGCAGAAAACTTTCTCCAGCTCAACCAGGACAAAACTGAGGTTTTAGTCATCGGCCCTGAGGCCCAGAGAGAGAAACTTTTACCGAAACTCCAATCACACTCTTTTAATCCATCATCACAAGTGAAAAACCTGGGCGTAATCTTTTACTCTGAGCTGACTTTTATTCCTCACATCAAGAACATCACAAAAATAGGTTTTTATCATTTAAAGAACATCGCCAGAGTCCGCCCCATTCTCTCTCGGGCCAACACGGAGACGCTGATGCATGCTTTTATCACCAGTCGCATTGACTACTGTAATGCCCTGCTCTCTGGTCTTCCCAAAAAGAACATTTCAGGTTTACAATTACTTCAAAACTCGGCCGCACGTGTCCTGACTAAGACCAGGGGGCGGGACCACATTACACCGGTTTTAAAATCGCTGCATTGGCTCCCCGTGTGTTTCAGGATCGATTTTAAGGTTCTTTTAATGGTTTTTAAATGTCTTAATGGTCTTGGGCCTTCTTATCTTTCAGATTTGCTTTTATCCTATGAACCTTCCCGGCCCCTGCGCTCCTCCGGCAGCAGACTCCTAACCATCACCAAAGTCAGGACACACACTCACGGTGAGGCATCTTTCCAGCACTACGGCCCCCGTCTCTGGAACAGTCTGCCGGAGGAGCTCAGGGCCGCAGAGAACGTTCATATTTTTAAGAGTAGGCTCAAGACGCACCTTTTTAGAGCAGCTTTTGATTAGTATTTATTATCTATTATTGCTTTTTAGTACATCTATTTATGTTTTTAGACGGATTATATTTTTATTTAATTTTATTATTTACTATTTTTAATTATTTATTGTATCTACCCATTTACTATTGTTATTATCAATATTAGGCAGCTGCCATTTTTCTTTTTATTTTCACATTTTATTGTTCTACTTTCTATTGCATTATTGTATTGTTTTAGTGTCCCCAGTGTTTCCTCTGGAGGAGCCCTCTGCACTGAGAGCTGGGGTCTGCTGTGGCTTCGGGGGACTGGCTCTTGGATCCGGTGGGGGTCTGGGGCCTCCTCTCTCCTCTGGGTCCTATGGGGTCTGAGCCCTGGGCCTGGTGGGGTCTGGGGCCCCTCTCTCCTCTGGGTCCTGTGTCGTTGCCTGTGGCTGCAGCCGGCTCTCTGCTCCTGGTGCAGATGGCTCCTTGGATGACGCTTCTTCAGCCGGTTACATCTGCTCCCAGCCCCATTTCTATTTATTGTTTTACCTATTTTACCTGATATGACTTTATACTTGTGTATATGTGTGTGTGTGTGTGTGTGTGTGTGTGTGTGTGTGTGTGTGTGTGTGTGTGTGTGTGTGTGTGTGTGTGTGGGTGTGTGTATTGTATATATAATTATAAATGTGGTTTTGGGGGGTCTGTGGGGAGGAGGGTTTAGGGCTGGGCATGTTGGATTGTTTTTAACTAAACTGTAAAGCACTTTGTGTTACACTTTTTGTATGAAAAGCGCTTTATAAATAAAATTTGATTGATTGATTGATAGGCGTTTTATGCCCAAAACCCACTGCACTCGCAGTGGGCACTAAAGCTGGGCATACGCTGTTTGCTAATGCTTTTATAATATGTTTTTGATGTGTACTGTACATTTGTACTAAACATTGGCAATAGCAGCGCTCACACACCTGTCTTGCTGCTCCTCCTCCTCAGCTCACACACCTCTGTGTCCTCCTCCTCACACAGAAGACATGAATGTCCATCTCTCCGTACACTGGGCTCATTCCCGTTACTTTCTTCGTCTAACTCACTGCTAAAGTTATCTGACAGCTCGTTCTCTCTGTAGGACCCCTCTGTGTACATAGCCGCCCTCGCGCCTGCCTGTTTACAAATTGCTTTTGGCAAAAATTTGACATACTTGCGACGGTCCTGGTCGTGTGAACATACTTTTTAATCTTTGGGTTCGAGGAAAGTAGCAAGTCTTTTCAAGTCAAATGGGTCAAGCCGAAGTGATATCACAAGTCACTGATGTTAAAGTCCAAGTCGAGTTGCAAGTCTTTTAAGATTTTGTCAAGTCGAGTCTAAAGTCATCAAATCTATGACTCGAGTCTGACTCGAGTCCAAGTCATGTGACTCAAGTCCACAACTCTGGATACTGGACACCTGAATATCAATAAAGTATCTATCTATCTATCTATAAAATAAAAAAAAATTGTGACACCCTTAGTTACCACTCTCAGAAAATGACTGAAAGGAAGATATCGCTTAAACAAGCGTGTTTCATGAGTGTCCTCCGCAGAGTGGCTGGGCGCTCTCTTAGAGATGGGGTGAGGAGCTCAGTCTCATGGGAGGAGCAGCTACTTCTCCACGCTGGAGGACACGGTTGAAGTGGCTCATGCATCAATTTGGCCTCCTGGACGCCTCCCTGGGGAGGTGTTCTGTGCCTGTTCTACTGGGAGGGAATGTAAAGCCACTCATCTGTGTATACTGTGCCTGCTCCTTGGGTGCCCTTTGTGTGCTCATACCTCAGTCCTGTGAGTGCGCTGCCACAACAACCTTTCCCCAGTGTGGGAGGTGGAAATGTTCTCTTAACTTACGTATGTTTACTCCATTTGCTCTTTGTTGAGCTTGTTGTTGTTTAGGTGGATAGTCGTGTGTCGGTAGATTTGCAGTGGTCCCATACGCTTTCCAGTTCCAAATAATGTATTGGATATCTTCAAAACTTTGGGAAATGTTTGTTCCTGACCTCTGACCCCTCTGATTTAGACTTCCTGAAGATTTTCAGTGACCACTACACTCTGAGCACAGCGCTGAGCTCCTCATAGAACAGCTGTCATTATACTGATTACTCACAGTGTACACACAACCTTATAACCCTAACATTTAGTTCTTAGGGCCAGATGTAAGCATTTAGGCTTTAGTGACCTCAGAGTATATGGATGGTCATTGACTGGGCCTTTGTGTGTTTTTCCCGGACAAAAAGTTTTATGAGTACACAGATATCCTCTTCTCTCTTTCGGTTGCCACAGACACGGGAGGTATGTCAGCAGGGGGCCGACTACCGAGCAGCGGCTAAAATACGAGCATTTTCACTGACCCCATTACCTTTTACCTTGACTGATGGATAAAGTCAGGTGAGAGGGGTAGGGACTAGGAAGGAGGAGGAGACAGGACAAATGATGGAGGAGTTTTAAAGAACCAAAAGCTCTCTGAAAGAAACTGTAGCAAAAAACTATCACAAGCTAAGCAGTAGTAGAAGTAGTATTTATTAGTATTAGTACTAGTAATAGTAGTAATTTTAGTAGCTAAACACTGTTGCAGGTCTATTTCTGATGAGGAACATGGATAAATAAGAAAAATAATGTTCCATAATTCTCTTTGAGCAGCTGACTGATATCTGAGTTTTGTCACTGCAGGTTCTCCGTATAGAGATGAGATCACTCTGGGGATCCTCCAGCTGCAGGAGAGCAACCGTCTGGAAATCCTGAAGAGGAGGTGGTGGGAGGGTGGGCAATGTCTGCGAGAGGAGGACCATCGCGCCAAAGGTCAGTGTGCCACCAAAAGAAGAGAGAAGCCCATGTATATCATCCGTATGTCACCGTATGTGTCATCCAGTCATAGACTATATATTAGGATTGGACTGAGGTAGCCTTATAGCTGAAGTGAGCGTTTTTGTGTCAATATAAGTTTTAAATAGTTGTATCTTCCAATAGCCATCACTTATATAGAGTGTTTGAACCAAAACATGGATCTCTCAGTCACTCGGTCCAACTTTGAGTCTCGGGTCAAACTATTTCATGTATCCTACAATTTGTATCCAATCAAGGGAGAGAATGGTAAGGGGGGGGGGGGTTTCTCTCTCTCTCACCAAGCCCCAGCGAGCCAAGATGGCGGCGTATTCAAATTAACGGTTTGTGCACAGTGGCGCATGTGCCGGCATGGGCGAAAAATTAGCGGAACTTGCCTATATTTGGGCATCGTCTGGTCCTCCCGGTGTAACAGGCCGTTTTTATACCCCCTGGCCAGTTTATTCCCCGGGGTAAAAATAGCCTAGGCCAGAATACACCCCGGGGTGCACTACCATTCAAAAGTTTGGGGTCACATTGAAATTTCCTTATTTTTGAAGGAAAAGCACTGTAGATAACTTTAAACTAGTCTTAACTGTAAAGAAATACACTCTATACATTGCTATACATATGTGGTAAATGACTATTCCAGCTGCAAATGTCTGGTTTTTAGTGCAATGTTGTAGTTGCTGCAAATGGAGGATTCTTTGACTAAAGCAAAGTTGGATGTAAAACAAATCTTATTTCAAATACAAATCATTATTTCTAACCTTGTCAATGTCTTGACTCTATTTTCTATTCTTTTCACAATGTATAGTGGTGAATAAGTGTGAATTTGCACGGAAAACACTTGGGTGACCCCAAACTTTTGAACGGTAGTGTAACTTCAAAGGGTGTGCATTTTTTTGAGGAATGCACTGATGTGTGCTATACAAAAAGAACACCTGGAATAAGTTCATCCCAATCATCGCAATGTTCATTCACAAGCTTTGCCAATGATGTCTTCAGGGTTCTGTTGTCACATTCCTGTTGACTATTTGTTTGGGGGTGGTATGCAGAGGAGATTCTGTGCTCTGTTGAAGTTTGATTAGAAGAGAATCCACAACTTGGTTCACAAATTCTCTGTCCTGGTCACTGATCAATGTGTCTGGACAGCCATGACGACAGATGACAGTGTAAAGAAATAAATAAAATATTGCTTGTATTTTATTGTTATTATAAAAAATGAAAGGGGGGGGGGTTAAACTAGCCTAGGCTATTTTAACCCCGGGGTATAATCTGGTCTAGGCTACTTTATACCCGGGGATATTCTTGCGGGGGGTTAAAGTGGCCTACTACACCTGTTCTGCGCAGTGGACGGGCTCCCATGATGCGTTGCTCCAAATACGCGTGTGTGGCGCTCATGCACGTGCACAGAGGGGCTTGGCCACTCTTTGACCAACCAGCGCTGTTGATCAGAGCAGAGCTAGAGCAAGAGTTAGAGCGAGAGCCAGACGAGCAGAGTTTGTGGCACTAAAGTGTGGATTTAAGGAAAACCGAAGGATTTAAGAAGAAAGAAAGTTCAGGATGACAACGGGTACTAAAATCCCCACAAAATCCAACCTTTATGAAAGCTGTAGATTCTCTGTCAGCTGAGATTGAGCTGTTCTAGTTTACATTGAGTTCTATGGGGAAATTTTCTGGGTTAAGGGAATGACAACAAAGAAGTGACATGAGGACGATCTGCATTTATATTGACGACCTTTAGATCGGTGGATGAAACATGGACGTAAAAACCGACTCGTCTGTCCCACACAGAACAGGTAAGCATAATTTTACTCAGTAGTGGCTGGAGTAGTAGAAGTAATTATACAGATTTTCGCCTGAGATGGACTGTAATATTTTTTTTCATCAAGCTAGCTTGTTAAAAATCCCCAGCTCCCAATTTGCTAAATTTTGTGGTGATAACTGCACATCATCTAGCGTTAGCTTTGAGAAAGACAACACAACATTGAAGCCTTAGCCATGCGTAATCTCCGGTTAATTATTATTTCCCTACATGTACAAAATGAAATGAGTACGATATGGTAAGACCAAGCTATCAACGCCCATCAAACCCCACGGGAAGCGTCCCCCATCATCACCGGGAGCCTTGCGAAGTAGCGTTAGCGTTAGCTGTCTGTAGTTTCTTGCTGCTACGATCACTTCTGATCCAGCAAATTATTTAATTGAAAATGTTTGTTTTTGCCAGGGATGATAACGGTATTTTTGCTCACATACAACAGCTAGAGGAAGCTGTTCATCAATTGGAAAGGTCTGTGTGCATATTGTTGTTGTCTGGTAAATTGGCTACTTGTCTTTGGGCAATGCTCAAACATCTAAAATAATGTTTGAGAATGTTTGCTGGTAAGAAAGATAGTTGCATGCACTATACATCTAGATGTGGATTTCATTCTATATATCTAACAGCTGCTCTATTATGATTTTATGACCTCTAAATAAATTCTTATTATCATGTGTTCAGAATAAGACAAGTCTTGAGGATTACTAGCACAATATAATATAGAAATTAAAATAATGTACATTTCTACATTACATTTTTTCTCTGTATTTTTTCCAGTATGGCCGCACTTGATTGGAATGAGGTCCTCACTGTGGAGGAGTTCAACAGCCTCTGTAATGCAACGTAAGTAACTGTACAAAATAATTATGAAGCCATAACACCTAGATCATTTTTTGATGAAGTATTATACACCCCTTCTTTCTTTAGCATTGACTGGGAAGGTAACAACCAAAAGAGCAGTGAGATAATCACTCGCTTCCAAAAGACCCGGTGTAAGTGTCTCTCACGAAGCACAGTCGAAATAAATGTGTACAAGGATGTGAATCCGGGTTACTACCCGGTGATTTATAAAGACTGATTTGATTAGATAAAACTAATGTCTACTCTATTGTGTTTCAGAGCAAAACTCCAGTTCTTACAACCTGCGCCCCTGAAGTGTGTGTGGCTGTTTTTGATTTATTTTGAGGAAATCTATCCAAAAGAGCTAGACAATATTTTTGTTGGATTTTTCTGATAATGTATGCTGGTAGCAGTTATGGATAAGGATGAGGATAATGACAGCGTCCATCTGAACAGTGTTAGTCACATGAGCAAGAAGTGTTAACACAAAAGTTGCTTCCATCACATGTCATTGAAAGGAATCACATTGTTAATATTTTTTGGAGATAACTTCAAGTTTACTATTACATGATAAAGTTTTGTAGAGAATATCTCTTTTCCTATAAAAACAAAACACATTTAAAATGGGGGAAATGTAAGATATTTTATATTGAAATGTTACAACTACAAAGATATTTTAGAACAGCAGGACCCCTGGAGATAAGTGTCCATATGTGGCAGCGTGGAAATGCACCATGGACGTGCACCATGGGGGCTGCTGAGGACGGCATGTTTTCAATGTTTGTTGACATCTCTTGGCACTTTTCACAGGCACACCAAGGCCTACCGCCTTGGTGTGCCTGTGAAAGGTGCCAGGTCTTGGAGGGTCTGGTCGTCCTGCTTACCCAGTGTTATGGTTGTGAGTGTATTAGCCCAGAGTCCCGGTTCAGGCACTACATCATGATTTCAATCAGCTTCTCTGGACTGAGGGCATTCAGTGCTTTCTGAAAGGACAGTTATGACACATTACTTTATATTTTATGTAATTTGTAGCTTTGCTTTCAAAGTGGTAGGTTTCCTAACAGTTAAACAGTCGGTGTAAAGAAATCAGTTATGACACACTACTTTCGTGTTTCACACTACTATTTGTATTGTTTACTTTTGAATGCGCTGGAAAACGGCTGCAAGTATCTCTAAAACAGTTGTTGTTTTGTGCTTTACAATTTTTATTGTTATTGTTTCTTCTGCCTGAGATGTTGCTGCAGTACAGTGTTCATGGTTTTACACTGGTCCAGACCAGTGCAGAGAAGATTCATGGTCTGAACCAAGTGGATCAGATAAAATTCCACTGGAGGAATGTTAACTAAATGCTAATGAAGCATTTAACATTTTACTTTGGACTGGAGCAGAGAAAATGGTCCGAACCAAGCGGCTACTCCACCTCGTGACCTGTCCTGCTCCACCCAGAGGCTACTCCATCTCTTCTGTTGTATCCCGTCCTGCTCCACCCAGAGGCTGCTCTATCTCTGCTGCTGTGACCTGAAGGGCTGTTGCTGAGTAAAAAGCTATTGTTAGCTTTTTAGAATGATCAATGTTATTTTTTATTTTTGCTGCTACTGGACACCTGAATTTCTCATATGGGATCAATAAAGTATCTATTTATCTATCTATCTACCTATCTATCTATTTCAGACAAGTTTCACTAGAATTTTTTTTCAGTCGCACCTCTCACTGTAAAGATCTAATACACTTTGACTCTATTCTCTCTACATCAAGCACATAATACGGATGTTGATTACAGATTACATCAATAAATGTATCTTCATTATGTGACATTGAGAGGGCAGCTTCAGTCCAGTGAGATGCGGCTTTACTTTTACAATATAATACATTAATCCAGAAATGTAACTAATAGAATTACTGGTATTTTATGTGTAAAGTGTTAATATTTAGGTGTTGATTTTTTTGAGTGTTGTCTACAAAGAAAGTCCCAAATATATATTTTAAAAAATATATATATATATATATATTTATTATACGGCTCCTCACAGCAGCAGTAGAACGCTCCATTGATTTGAATGTAATTTCAAAACGTTCTACCGGTCATTATTTTCTATAACGGACCTCTCAGAACAATAATGACCGCTGCCCATGGCAACGCACTCTCTGCTTGTCTTTCAATTGTGTGGATAACTCCGCAAGTAGTTCCGGCCACTCCGGAGCTAGCCACGCTCAATCAACACACTTAAATGTTAATCGGAGAATACTTATATATACATACAAATATTCAGAATTTTCTGGTCTTGTCTTCATGACAAAAATATTATTTCTCTGCCGGAAGTAGTTCCGGCCGCTCAATAAACGCAAATGCCAATCAATCAACGCAATGAAATGTTAATCGGAGAGTAATTTATACATATCCAGTCTTAATACAAGTGCACGGAAGTTTTCAGAATTTTCCGTTTACGTTTTCATGACAAAAACACTGATGTAATGCGAGAAAAGGCGATGCCGAAAAACCCGGAAGTAGATACCGGCACATTTTCTGACACATTTGCAGAGGATCGAATTATGGATTTAGGTTAGGTTTTTGTATGGGTCACTCACCGCTGATGTTCAGAATTCTTTGTTCAGTTTTCATGCAGTTCCAGAGAGTTATAGTTTGGAAGTTGCCAGCCTAACTGTTGCTAGCATAGCCACGGGAAAGCCTTTGGGAACTATTTTATTTTCTGTCATAAAAAAAAAAGTGGACTGAAGTTTATGTTGTGTGTTCTGTTGGTATAAAGCCGTATAATAAGCGGGATAACTTATATTACGCAGGTCATTATCGGAAAATAAGTACCTTCTGGGCGGAAGCAGACCCCTCCGCTGCTTCGCCCTGTCGGTACTTATTTTCCGATAATGACCTGCGTAATATACGTTATCCCTTACATATCTCGCAGAACCCTCAAGCTCCCAGGCCTCTGGTAGAGGACCCGAGCTTAGAGAGGGATAACCACCCGCGGAGGGCGAAAGGTGAGAATTTTTATTCTCACCTTTGAAACTGTTATCAACTTTTGTTTTTGCACTAAAGGAAGACTCCCTGCGTTTTTCGGGCACTAGCAAAGCAGTGTTTTTCTATAAATGACTGGATTGTTTTATATCTTGTTTCTTAGTGATGCTAACCCGGCTTCACTATCCACAGACGAGCCGCTTTTGGCTTGATAGCTATGTCACGATACAAAGCTATCTAACGCTAATATTTTCAAACAACATATTCATACTGTTATCACTCCCAGTATTAATAATATAATTACGGGTAAATCTGAAGGAGATGATCTGCCGCTTGCCTCAAGTCAAAGAGGACGATGCACGTTCATGTGGTGTGACGTAGGGACGAGCATAGGGCTGCCAACTCGCTCAGGCGAGAAGAAACTGCTGAAACAACTAAATCGCTTACTGCTGCTTTAATGCATGATTTGAACATGACAGTTGCTAGTTCCCCGCTGCAAATAAAGACATCTGATTTCTATGGCTCATAATCTGGATTTAAAAAGACAATATCACAATATACACAGATTTTTTTGTCCAAAATTATGAGTGTGACACAAACGGTTACTTAGATTACTTTTTAGGAGTTTACTTTTATAGTGTATGTAAGTCTATAGGAGCTAGCGTGAGTTGGAGCAAAACTTTACCCATGAGCACTTCCCTATTGGGCTTCATTGAGCTAGCAGGTTAGCATTGTTGATCTGAATAGAAGAGGGGTGTTAAACCGGTCCTAAATGGGCCGATGTGGCTGCAGGTGTGTCCAGTTTTAACCTGAAGATTTGAGGAAATGGGTGTAGTTTGGTGTACTCCTGCTCAAGTGGAACTAAAATCTGCAGCCCTTTCTGGAACCGGTTAGAGTCTATATGCATCCAGTGTAAGTGGAGGAAACAGAGGAGGTAAAACTAGTGCTAGGGAGATAATCTAAGACTACTTCACTGCATCCAACAGATCAGTGCTTGGATGCAAAAACTTTCTTCAGATTAACTGAGACAAAACTGAAATTATTGTCTTTGGTTCCAAAAACAAAAAGAGTGTTAGTGTCTGTGCATGGTGTGACCAGCAGCGTGGTTTTCTGTGCAGGTCTGGGGATGGAGAACATTGGGGGCATCTTTGTGGTGCTGATTTGTGGTCTGATCATCGCTGTGTTTGTGGCCATCATGGAGTTTGTTTGGTCTACTCGTCGATCGGCAGAAACGGATGAGGTACGAGCCCTGAGGGAGACTTTTATATTCAAGATTGTTGTTCTTGTACATCCTCAACACAGTAGGTTTGGCCCCAAGTGAACCAGGATATGTCCAGTTAAAGTTAACCTTGAGATAATCCGGACAGTTCTCATCCAATTCCTGAGCCTTCCCACTGGTGAGGTCACCAAGAGCTTCAGACCCGGAGAAAGGACTGAACAGACTGCGTTTGGTTTTTCCAGGCTACATCAGGAATCTGCCAAATTAGTGGTTGTAGCTGCAGAAGCAGTAGCAGTAGTTGTGGTAGCAATTACAGAATCATTAGTAGTAGTAGCAGCAGCACTAGTAGTAGCTAACTCTGTTTAATCGGGAATCTGGAGCCAAATTCTCAGATAGCCACTACCTAGCAAAAGTTTTCGTCACTTGTTGGTATTGCGAATCTCTACCTTGGTCAGATGAATAGACATGTGTTTGTCTCTCAAACATGAATCATCTGTCATTTTCTCTGCAGGTGTCTGTCTGCCAGGAGATGCTGACCGAGTTCCGAAATGCTGTGTCGTGCAAGAAGAGCTCACGTTCCCGTCACCGTCGCCGCAACCACCACCACCTGACTCACCTGGCGAGCACCGGAGTCCTGCGCCCGCCCTCGCGCCTCGCTCTGTCCGGCCCGCGCCCCATCAGGCTGGTCCGTGACATGCGCCTCAGCAATGGGAAACTCTACAGCGGGGTTGGGAGCAGTGCCATGCTGGGATCCATGCCGCCTGATCTAGGGCCCGGTCCACAGAGACTTTTGGACGAAGCTCTGGGGCTGAACGTCCCCATAGCCCCGCCCACAACACTTATATCCCCTCCCACATCGCTAATATCCCCTCCCACTTCGCTCATAGCCCCGCCCCCCCCTCCCCCTCCGCGCAGTTTCCTCCAAAACTGCAGCCACGTGCGCATTTGCCAAGAGTGCCGGCGAATCCAGAGCCTGCGAAGCCCGAGCAGCTACGCATCTTCCCCAAGTGGTGCAGTTTCTCCGCCTAGAGCCGCGCCGCTATCGTCCAGGAAGCTCCGCCTCCACTACCACTACCACCGCGGCTCCATGTCCCTGCCGCGGCTGCCTCAGCATGCGCCGCCACAGCCAATTACTGCAGAGAGAGCAGACAGCGATGGTGGGAGCGTGAGCAGCCCATGGAGAAGCAAGGGTGCGAAACCTTTACCTCCACCCAGACCCGTGCCTCCAGCCAAATCACAGACGTCTACGGACTTGCTAGGGTCGCACGACTGAAGGAAGGACTCGGACCAGATGTTTTGGGTTATTTTAAAAACGCAGAAACCAACCAGTAAAAATGAATGGTGATAGTGGCAAAACTCCTTGACCAAAAAGACGGAAAATTACATTATACGGTTAGCTGAATGACTTGGTTTTGGTGTAGTGTGATCAAGCGAGGCTGATGTGATACAGAAATATTCTATAATAACACAATGGCCAACCATCAACTGTGAACACAAAAAATAAGAACAGGCCCCCAAGGTTTTGCAAAAGTCTATGTACAACTTTGACATATTTTGATTTGGCTGTTTAGTGAGTTGTTTTGAGTGGAACTAAGAGATGTGCTTTTACTCGCCTACTTTGATTGAAAATGTGAAATGGAAGCTTGTGTTGGATTGTGATATAACACAAGGAAAGTAGACAGCTAGATAAATGTATTATTTTGTGGGATATTTGGAATGGGAAAATAGGAAAAGACATAGAAGAAAAGTCCAGTCTGTTTTTCTCACAACAATGACAAGCAATTACATGGACAGGTAAATGAGGTGAAGTAATAAATGATAGCATTTCTTTGGGGGAAATCTTTTTAAATGAAAGATGCTGCAGTAACAAACCACCAACTGTGATTGGAAGGAATGTTTTTAGGAAGTATGGGAATAGGATCAGAGAATTACAATGAGATGCTAAAAAGCTGGAGGATTCTGCTGTTGTGCTTTGGATGGTCAAGCTTTTAGTCAAATCATGAGAAATCTTCTATTAACTAAACAAAGGAAATTCGAGGTACCAGATTCCGCTAAGGTCCATGGATAACTTTAACTCACAATTAAATGGAATAAAACTGACCCGCTTTGTCTGTATCATGTCCAGTGGAAAAAAGATGTGGGTGTTTAACTAGAAGAAACAAGATGGAAAGCCAACAAGACTTTGCAAACTTTTGTCTTTGACCGAAAAGATGGAATTTTGAAAGACTGAATGCAAAGAGTTTCTAAATGTTATTCAGACAAACATGAAAACCAAAAGAAGGCGGAATCGAGCTGGTAAAGTGGGAACTTTACAGCTGAATGGTCTATGATGGCGTGGGATTAAGATGTAAACTAGCTACTGGAACATGAAATTACAAGTGCTGTAGCTTCTGGAACTGAACACCTGATGGTGCAAAGAAGACCACACACTCTGAATTGTTGAGGGGTACGCTTCAAAGGGAGGGTGAAGGTTAGAAAGGATAGAAAGGCACAAATGCTGGAGGAATAAACAAAAGTAGTTTGATTTTTGGAACACAGTTCTACAGCTGTGTAAAAGTACAGGGCGACTGAACGCACACAGCTTGGGTCTTTGTGAGCAGTGAAATACAACAAAAGTCTGCAATGGAACAGCTGAAAGGTCTGTGGTTCTGAAGGTCTTTGAAAAGTGGCTCCAAATGTGAACAAAGCGAACGCCCCAGAGATTGTTCGGGGTTGTTGCTTCATTTTTTAACAGGTGACTGAAGTGTTGCATCAGAAAAGAGATTGAAATGTGATTTTTTTTATCAAATGTTTTGTCTAATGTGTTTGCAACGTTGGGGAATAGGAGGAAATTGGCTGCTATGGAACTCGGCTGCGTTCACACTGCAGAGGATGATTCACAATTCTGGTTTTGTCAAAAGTAATGGGTGACTGCTATCTGATTCCAGTGGGAAGGAAAGGCGTCTATATACAAAAGCAAGTACAGAAGCAAGATGGAGTAATTTTCCTTCAATCTTTCGATCTCTAAGAGCTGTTTGAAGCTACATTGACTGATCTTCATCCTTTTTAGAGGGGGCGTTCAGTCACACACAGACAGAATGTTAATCATGCAGAAAAGGCTTGATATAGTTTTCCTCTTAAAACAAGATTTCCCAATGACACAGCGTAAACCAGTGTTCTCCAACCTTTGTGAGCCGTGGAATTCCTTTCTTATTTTTATATCACACAAAGTACATGAAACTCTGCATCAAAGTGTTTTGTATAGAAAATCAGTTCTTGAAGGGTGTGTTCACATTAAGTGTCAGTTAAAGTTTCTGGACCTTAAAGGGTTATAACGCAAACACTAAAATTATTATCATAGATCAAAACAAATTAATAGATTGACGAATACATTATAGGCACAAACTTAAACAACCAGATCGGCCTCTGATTGGTTCATTCGAATGTGACACCAGTTACATAAAAAATAAAAGGTCGTCAGTGAGACAAAGCGGCAGATGAACTCTGACAAGATCAACGTGGCTAACACAACATAAGTAAATCTGAAAAGGAATCGTTTTTGAAAAATAATCAATACAAATTTAAATGACCCTTTAAAAATGTGTAACCAGACATGATAGTTTCCGTCAATTATTTTGGTTTACTATATAAATATATACTGTTGCACTGAGCCAAAGCAATTTCCAAGTCTATGACTTCCTGTTACTTACGTGGCAATAAAAATGATTCTGATTCTGATTCTGAAAATAATCTCTTTTTGTCTACTAAAATAATCTATTAATTGGGGATGCACGATACATATACTGGTATCAGGTCGATACCACAGGCTCGTACTCATACCATAGGACCCAAACCCGGCAACTGACACCCACATTTTTCATTTACATTAGCGTCAAGACAGTAGACAGCTGTGTGGCATGTGTTGCCATGGTGAGCTCCTAAAGTCTGCTGCGAGAAAGCAAGCTACCGGCAGGCAGGCTACCGGCAAGCGAACAAGATGTCGACCGTATAGCAGTTTTTGCAGTGTAAGGCAAAACTGTCATGAGGTGGGTCCAAAACAAACAAATATAACACCAGCAACTTCACAAACTCAAACTCAAACTCACCACCACGGCGAGTAACCTTTGCTAGAACCGGAGCTATTTCTATGTACCATTTGTATGAGTGGAATATGAAATACAATACAATTTACAATACAATTTATTCTTGTATAGCCCTAGGTCACAACAGAAGTCATCTCAGAGGACTTAACAAAACCATTGAAATCACCAACACAGGTCAGAGAATCAACAGTTAAAACACATGAAGAATATAAAGCACACACAGAAGAAAATGTCCATACATGTTGTAGAATGCTAAAGTGTCCTGATCATCACCAATCCTTTCTGTTGGACACTAACTGTCCAACAAGACCCTCCTGCATCGACAAGGAAAAACTCTTAAAAAACCCAGTGGGAAAAAGTGAGAAACCTTGGAGGAGAACTAGGGAAACCCACAGGGAGGGAGACCCATATGAGAAAGGGATCCGCTCCTCCGGACGGACAGGCTAATGATCTAGGACCTAAGCTAGCTACAGAACGTGGACCAGTGGACGCTGAACGTGGACAGGTCCGGTGCAGGACCGAAGCACTCCCAGGCGGGTCGGGCGGGGCAGTCCGCAGGTGTAGATGGAAGAGGCCAGGCTCAGAGATCCCGTCATCGTAGCATGAAACAGACAATGGGACAACGGGTGAATAGCAATGAACAAACTACAGTCAGAATCCTAAAAATGCTAAACAGATAAAGTAGGAAGGAGGAGAGGATAGTGCTCAAGTTACCATACTTCTCCCAGCAAACTGACTCCCTATGCAGCTTGACTAACACTCTGAGGAGTTTAACCTTCTCCGAGTCTTACCTTCCTAGCCATATGCTAAACTAAAGAGGACTGTTTTAAACCTAGCCTTGAATAAAGAATAACATACAGCATAATATATAACATAATATACAACATAACACAATACATTATTGAATAATATATAACATAATATATAACATAATACAGCATACATATATAATATATACACCATATATTATATATTACCTAATTATATGCTAAATTAAAGTAAAGTGCTTTAAGCCTGGCCTTGAATGTGGAGACCGTATCTGCTTCCTTAACATAAATGGGAAGCTGATTCCACAGTAAAGGAGCTTGGTAGCTAAATGCTCTGCCACCAACAGTGATTTTTGAGACCTTAGGGACCACCAGACGTCTGGCGTTTTGTGAGCGCAACGCTCGACCTGGTTATACGACACTAACGTGTCTTGGAGATAAGAAGGAGCCAAGCCATTTATGGCTTTATATGTTAAGAGTAGGATTTTAAACTTTATTCTGTACTCCACAGGGAGCCAGTGGAGTGATTTTAACACCGGAGTTATGTGCTCCCTCCTTTTGGTACCTGTTAAGATCCTAGCTGCTGTATTCTGAACGAGCTGGAAGCTCTTCAAAGAGGCTTTAGGGCACGCTGCCAGTAAAGCGTTACAGTAGTCGAGCCTTGAGGTGACAAACGCGTGAATGAGTTTTTCCGCGTCACTTTTAGGAAGGAAATTCCTAATTTTAGCGATGTTCCGTAAGTGGAAGTACGCCGTTTTAGTTGCGTGGCTTATATAAGCCTTGAAGGAGAGTTCTTGGTCAAAAATGACTCCAAGATTCCTCACAGTGTTACTGGGTATTATACTGACATTATCGAGAGTAACCATCTGGTTAGTGAGGGAGTCACGCAGGCGCTTCGGACCGAGTAGGATCACTTCTGTCTTCTCCGGGTTGAGAAGTAGGAAGTTAAGAGTCATCCACATTTTAAGGTCCTTTATGCAGGCACTGAGCTTTTCTAGCTGATCTGTCTGATTAGGCTTCATCGACAGATAAAGCTGTGTGTCATCTGCATAGCAGTGGAAATTAATTCCATGCTTTTTAATAATGTTTCCCAGTGGCAGCATGTAGAGAGTAAAAAGAATCGGTCCGAGTACCGAACCCTGCGGCACACCGAATTCCACTCCAGAATAAGGCGACGAGTCCTGATTCACATTGACGAAGTGATATCGATCTGATAAATAGGATTTAAACCAGCCAAGGGCTGTTCCTCTAAGACCTATATCACATTCTAGCCTCTGCAGTAGAATGCTGTGGTCTATTGTGTCAAATGCAGCACTAAGGTCCAGTAGGACCAGCACTGACACTTGTCCATTATCGGCAGCTAGTAGTAAGTCATTTGTGACTTTGACTAGTGCCGTTTCAGTGCTATGATGAGCTCTGAATCC